CATTGCTCTGTGGGAGGGCTGGGTAAGTTCCTTTAAGTGAGAGAAAGAGTGATAGGGGGCAAGACCATTGCCTTAGCTGGGTGGTGCTGGGCCTCTCAGTTACTCTGTCCCCAAGTAGCAAACAGACTGGGAGTTGACAGACCAAGTTCCAGATGGGCAAGCCGCAGGCCTCTCTGAGCCAAGTTGCCCTAGGTCTGGAATGCCAAAATGCCAGGGGGCAGGGGGCGCTGAGGAGTTGGCCCCAGGGCCGTGACCAGCCCTCCCACGCCCTTAGCATGTGGACATCCAGAACTTCTCTTCAAGCTGGAGCGATGGGATGGCCTTCTGTGCCCTAGTGCACAACTTCTTCCCTGAGGCCTTTGACTACGGGCAGCTCAGCCCGCAGAACCGACGCCAGAACTTTGAGGTGGCCTTCTCATCTGCTGAGTAAGTGTGGGTCCCAGCCTTGCTGGTGTCAATCAGGCATCTAGAGCTGGGCATCTGGGCCAGGCCCAGCCACCCTGAAGCCCCTGGAGCCAGCCAGCCGCACTGTCAGACAGCAGCTGAGAACCCCTTCCCCAGTGAGCCCCCATCCTCCTCCGCCCTGCCCGCCTGCTGCTGAGGGTGCCAGGTGCCCGCCGGAACGAAGGAGCCAAAGGCCCGCCTACCAGCCCGGGCCAAGGCCCACCAGGTGGCCCTGTCCAATCCTTCCTTCCTCTGCCCCCTTTCCCTCTCTCTTCTCCCTTTCTCTGTCCTGTTCTCCTCCTGCTGTCACCAGAGCTTCCTGCTCCCACGGGATCCTGGCTGGAGATTCCAAAAAGAGGCTCCTGGCCCGGGCACCGTGCCCGCCCAGCCTATATACGTGCTGCCAGAGGCTTATATAGGACATCCAAAAGCCCTCCACTTTGGAATCGGTGCCCCATCTGCTCACCTCACCCTCCACACCCTCCTCCATTTGTCTTTCCTTCTCTCCCCTTCTCTTTCTGGTTTCCCCCAGATTTCTTCCTCTTTCTCTTCCCCCCACCTCCTCTCACGCCTCCCTCACCCCCCCTCCCAGGGGCACAGCCCTCCTCTCCAACCTGGCGCCAATGCCATCGCCCCTCCCCTACCCCATGTTCCTGCTTGCCCCAAGAGTTCTCTGCACCTGTGACTGGTCTGGTCCCCACCCGTCTGCATCGCACACCATTAGTGACGTGTAGTGAGCGGCACGTCCACGATGGGGAGGGGGCATGCGGGGGGGGCTGGCCGACTGCAGCACTGAGAACGTAACTGAATCCATGTCTCTGTGTGTGTATGTGTATGTGTGTGTGTCTCTGTTCTCCTCCCCTTTCTCTTCTCTGCCTCTTACCCCTCCTCCTGCCTGGGCCCCGCCCCTGCCCCTTCCTGGCCCCCTCCCTCCCCAGGACCCATGCGGACTGCCCGCAGCTCCTGGACACAGAGGACATGGTGCGGCTTCGAGAGCCTGACTGGAAGTGCGTGTACACGTACATCCAGGAGTTCTACCGCTGTCTGGTCCAGAAGGGGCTGGTAAAAACCAAAAAGTCCTAACCCCTGTTTGGGGCTCCACGGTGAGAAACGCTGCCTCGCTCCCCTGCCCAGTTATGCCAGAATCTGCTAGGGGGGGCTCAGAGAGGGGTCCCAGAGGTGGGTGGGGGGATCAGGGGGACCCTGTCTTCCGGTAGCTCAGGGCCTGGCAGGTGAGACTATTCCCCTAAAGAGTAAGTGATGAGCCAGGTGAGCAAGACTATGATGGAAAAGCCTAGGAGGCTGTAGGAGCCCAGGAGAGGCACTTGTCTTGGCCTACAGGTCCAGATCGCTATCTGAAAAAAGTGCACCCTGAGCTGGAAACTGAGCAAGTTCAGGGTAAAGGATAGAGGGAGTTTCAGGCAGAGGGCTGGGGGACAGAACATGAGAGCATGGCACACCCAGGAAGGGAAGTGTAGTCTAGGGGTGAGAGGAGAAGAACGGGTCACAGTCAGGAGTTTGGACTTCCTCCTGAGGATAATAGGAACCATAAAAGATTTCCAAACATAGAAGGGATGCTGTCAGGTTGGTGTTCTAGAACAATCCTTGGATGAGACCTGGATGAAGGTAGACTGAATGATTGGAGCAGCTTAAGAAATAGAAGGGACAGGGTTCGGGGAAGGAAAGAGGGTCAACGAAGCCTCCCAGGCTTCCAACTTGGGCACTGGGGAGTCAGCTTTGTCACACCCCGAGGGGAGCTCAGAAACAGGGCTGGTTCAGCAAGAGATTTCTAGCTGGGGGGTCCTTGGTCCTCAAGTCAGCTATGGCATTTTCTTTCTGGTCCCCTCACCTTAGGGCCACAGTAGAGAATTAGATCCTGAACTAACTGCTCCATTACAGGCAAGGAGCTCACAGATTTTAGGGCAGAGCTGGGGCCAGAAACCGGGACTCCAGACTTCCCACTCAGTGGCTCTTTTCCTTGCCCCATTGTTGTTTTCCCACTCATTTTGTAGAGAGAAGAAAAAATTAAAACCCTAGAGGGAGCAAGGGGATTGCTCAAGGCAACATGAGTCAGAGAGCTAGGGATACACTCAGATGCCCCTCGGGGCCTGGAGCCATTGTGGGGGCAGTCCACATGTGCACACATATACTGAGGGGAGCAGTGCAGGTGAGGGGAGGATGGGCTTGGTGCTATGTCCAGGTCATATATGGGCTTTGGAGCTGCTGCCCAGCAGGACGGCCTGGAGAGAGGGGCCCGGCCCGGCCCTGATCCAGTTGGAAAGTGTGACTCAGCTGTGCTATTGCTTGAGTTGTTTGGCCTGTCGCTGGGGCAGCTTGAGCCCTGAGCTGTGAGCCCCAGTGTAAACAATGGCTTTATAAGGTCTCCAGGGAAGGCACCAGGGTGGGAGGGAGCTCTAGATTGGGGGAGGGGAGCTGGGATCCCGGTGGAGATAGCCACAGCTGGAGAGAGCTTGGAAGAGAGGCTGTCTCTCAACTATGGTACTGCTGGGAAGCAGGCCTAGCCTGGGGCAGTGATGTCCCCAAGGGCACTCAGCACATAAGCAGCAGAGCCATGAACCCCTCACTCAGCCCTAAGGGCTTCCAAGGTCTCAAGGGAGGCAGGAAACAACTATACTGTTATAAAGACGGGGAAACTGAGTTACAGAACAGGGCCTTACCTAGCATTCACAGCTGGTCAGAGGGAGAGTCTGGACTGGAACAGAGGTCCCCTGCCTCCCAGAATTATTCCCTGGAAGAGTCCAGGTGAGCTGGGGGTAGGCCCTAGCCCTACCACAGTACCGGATGGGAGGTGGCCCAGGGCCCAGGGCTGTCTTGGAGACAGGGGCAACTCCTGCCCTTAAGCCTTCCCTGCTGCAGGAAACTCATTCAACCACATTGACTGACTAAGTGCTTACTATTTCCCAGGCGTGGCAGATGCAGCAGGGAGCAAGGCAGAAAGGCAGATGAGGTCTTGCTCTCAAAGGGGAGGGGAAACGGAGCCAGGAATAAAACTCCAGCATCAGAGCTCTGGAGCTGTCAGTTCTTAGCAGGTGCAATCCACTCCCCACAGACTGGGGTGAGGGCCCCTGCAGCAGGGAAGATGGGGCTCCAGGATCAGGTCTCATTCGACCCAGCCCTGCACCTACTGAGCTGTGGGGTTGGAAGCAAAAGATACCTCTGCTCTGTGACTCAGTCTCTCAATCTGCAAAGTTCAGGTATCACTGGAGAATGGACAGAAGGGTGGCTCACCCCTGAGCATGGTGTAGATGGTCTGCTCTGTATTGGTTGGGATCCTCATCTACCTCCCCTGCTCTGCCCCAGGGTGGTGATAAGGATTATCACACACACTCCCTAGCCTCCATCTCATGCAGCTGGAAATTCCAGGGGCAGGGACAGGGATTCCTCGGTCTCTCCAAAGGAGGGACCAGGCCACGTAGCTGGCTGATAATCTTTGGGGGCGCTGTCCTGGCCCCAGAGAAAGATTTGCCAGTTGTGAGGCCTCTCCTGGGTGCCGTGGCCTCGATGAGAGGCCTGTGCAGGCTGGAGTGTGCCAGGGAGAGGGCGCTGGAGAGAGGAGGGAGGTGGGGTTTGGAGCCTGGACCTCCCCTGCGGCTGAGAGAACTTGCCGACCAGACCGAGCCCTGCCTGGGTCTACTCACCCCCAATTTCTGCCTCTACCCACCTGGTCTTGCCCCCTATAGGGGGTGCCTCCAGGCTTGGGTGGGTGAGGCCTGGGACTTCCTGCCTTCTGGGAAGGCTTTACCACCATTCCATCAATGGAGTCCGGAGTTTATGGAAGACCAGCAGGCAAGGGCAATGAAAGAACCTCAGGGCAGAAGAGCACTGCGAGTGACGGGGCCGGCAGTGACCACCACCCCCACGCCCCCTCCCTGCAGGATGCTGGTGGACTGCGTGCCCCTAGTGGAGGTGGAGGACATGATGATCATGGGCAAGAAACCCGACCCCAAGTGCGTCTTCACCTACGTACAGTCGCTCTATAACCACCTGCGGCGCCACGAGCTGCGCCTGCGCGGCAAGAACGTCTAGCCTCCCGCCAGCGGCCCACAGCCGCCCCCACCCTGCGGGCACAACCTCAGCCCAGCGTGCCTGCCCACTGCTGACCCCTCTGTCGCGACACCCACCGCCCCAAACACACGCAGCATTTTGATAAATTATTGGTTTACAACGACCCTGAATCTTCTCTGCCTCTCTTTGGGGGGGGGGGGAGTTGAATAGAGGGCGACTCGGCAAGGTATGCCCATATACCACTCCAGGGGCCCAAGCCCTAACGGGGGTGCAGGGTATCCCAGGGGCATGGGGAGCTCCTATATGGACCTCGCGTCCCCCCGCCCGCAGCAAGGAAGGAGTCGAGCCTTAGTTTAGGCAGAAGGGAATTTAGTGGAATTGAGAGGGAAGAATCCCCCCATCCCCACCCCTGCCGGCCCAGGGACAGGGCGTCGGCCCTCAGCAAAGAAGATGCTCCCTGGACGCTGAGCGCTTCATTTTTGCCCCCGGGGCTCGGGCAGGCTAGCCCCAGCTCCGCCGCGCCTCCGGACCTACAGGTCGGCGCGGTCCGTGGCGCCCTCGGCTGGCCTAGCGGGCGCATGCAGGTACTCGGGGGGCACGGGCGCGTCGGGCGCCGCCTTGCGGTAGAAGCCGAGCTCCTGCACCAGCGCGTTGATCTCCTCACGGGTCATGTCGCTGAGAGGAATGCGCTAAAGCGGAGGAGGCGGGGTCAGCGCGCCGGGTCCCGCCTCTCGGCCCCACCCCCCGCCGCCTCCCAGAGCCTCACCTCCAGCTCCTCGTAGCGTTGACCCAACAGCACGAGTTCAGGGTCGGCCCCCGGGAGGTGTTTCATCACCAGGTTGTGGCTTGAGGTAGTGTTAAGGAGGGTAATAGTAGGCAGAGGCAGGTGGGAGCTCCTCGAGCTTTGCTGATGTAAATACTACAGCCACACATGCTGAGCACCTACTCTTTGCCCGGGTAGGGCAGGAATCTCCAACTATATGAGGAAATTAGGGCTCAAAGAAGCAAAGGACCCTCCTATCCATTCCAGTGCCTATGACAGACATCACTAATCAGTCTCTTGCCCACCCAATTCAGATGCCACCTCAGATTCCTCTGGTCACTACCAATCAATTCCACGTGTCAGATGAAAACCATCTGCCATCCATCCCTCTCAAATCAAGCAGGAGAAGATTCTCTCAGATCCCCTCCCCATTTCTCCCTTCCCCAGGACAAGAGAGAAAGGATACTAAAATGGGATATCCTGGGTGACGAAGGCCTTCACCTGGGAAGAACCACAGCATCAGAGAACATGACATCAACCACCTCCAGGTACAGATGGGAAACTGAAGCCCAGTGAGGCCACACAGCCCGCACAGGAGCAGGCTGACTCCCAGCCCGGTGGTCCTCCCCACCCAATCATTGGAACCGTGTTGCCCACTCCCCAAGAGGTTCAGGGGGGACAGCTGGGAAATACCTTCCTTCAAACTCACCTCCTTCAGCCGGTTCAGCTGTCATCCCCCACAGGTCTGGAAGGGGACAAAATGGAATAGGTCAGGAGCCCCCCAGATTTGCTCCAACCGCACCCTCATTGCCATTTCACCCTCATCCCCAAGTTGGACCAGACTGTGGGTTACCCCTGGAGCGGCCATTCCCAGGGTGTGAAGGAGACGGAGACCCCTTGTGGGTATGTAGGGCATTGTGCTGCAGATGGGGAAACTGAAGCCTAGGGCCATTCTGGAAAAAAAAGGGACCAAGTCCAGAGACCAGCGGGGGGGGGGGGGGGGGGCCCTTGCAGCCTCAGGCTCTTGCTATACTGCCTACTGACTGTTCACTCACTAAAGTCTTCTCAGTGCCCAGGAGAAACATCACCCTGCGTCTCTCAGTCGGTAGAGATCTGGGCCTGGCCTTTGGCCCAGGGTGGAGACAGACTAGAAGGAAACAACTCAAAACTGCCCTGGGAGCCTCCATTAGCGACCCCTGCCATCTGGTCCCTACCACATCGCACGCAGAGCTGGCCCTCCCTGCCACTTGTGGCCAGCCCTACTGACCATCTGGTTCCTTCCCCCACAGGGGGGATGGGAGGGCCCCTCCCTGTACTTCCTGCAGGGGCCACCTCCCAACAGGAATCCAGACCCTCGGGCCCACCCATTCCCGTTCCCCCACGTCCTCCTCCCTTTTGTTAGACAGAAAACTAAGGCCCAGAGAGGGGCTGTGATGGTTCGAGTCACACAGAAAGACAGAAACCCAGGCGGGGGACTTCTCGGCCGGGGAGGGTGGCAGTTGCTGCGGAGTAAGTGCAGGCAATGAGGTTCCCAGCCCCCTTCTGGCTCCGGCTTGGAGGAAGGTAGGCGCCCAGAGGGTCTTCCCTCCTCCCTGCCAGGAGAGAGAGACCCTCCAGAGTCCCAAGTCCTGGAACTGTAGTGGGGGAGGAATTCCAGGAAAAAGTGATGGGGGATGGGGAGCTGGGCTCCAGAGGGCAGTTTTGGGGAAATCATAGGCCGGGAGAAGAGTCGAGGGGCAGAGCCAATGTGTCTTGGAGCTGGCTGTCCGGCCGGAGGGGGGGCTGGAGAGGGGTTCGGAGTTCCAGGCCGCAAAGTCTGGTGTGTTGGGCTTCCAACGTGGGTGCCGGGGCGTCTTGGGGCTGGGGAGAGGGAGGGATGGTCCAGGTGGCGGAGAGGGTCGGGGGTCGGAGTGGTCGTGGGGCCGGGGCGTGCGGCAGTCCCAGGGCTAAGGGGCCGCAGGGTTCGGGGCGGTGGTCCCGGCGCTGAGGACTGGCGCGCTCACCTCTACACGGGCCCGGGCCAGACGGCGCAGACGGTTCCAGTCGGGCTGGAAGGTGGTGGTGGCGGAGACCGCGAGCGCCGCGAGCAACAGCAGCAACAGCGGCGGAGGCAGCCGGAGGCGCATAGGGCCGGGGTCGGGAACCCGGTGGGAGACGGTTTGCAGGATGGAGGCGAACCGCGCAGCCGCCGCGCCACGTCGGGCCCCGCGGGCTGGCCCCGCCCCCGTTGAGGCTTTGCCACCAGACACTACGCCCCCCAGTCCCCGCCTTCGCCCCCGGGCCTCCCAGGGCTCACGTGGGGTCTTCCTACTAGCTCCCTGCGGAACATTCTGGCTCTACAGCCGTCACTTTCCCTGTCTTGAGAGTCTTCACGCTCCATCTGCCGACTGAAAGTGTGGATGCTCACACAGGATACGACCCGACAGCGCCACTTCGCGCCTGCAGGGGGCGCGGGAGGGACGCGGACGGAGGCTGAAGTTTCGCGGCCAAATCCTCAACTTGCAGATGAGGAAACTGAGACCTCGGGAGTGCTCGGTTGCGCTTTTTTATTTGGAAGAAATTCCAGTCAGGGTTTTGATTCCCGGGAGCACACATTGTGGTGACAGGAATATTATCTTCCTGGTGGGATTTGGGAGGGTAAAAGGGTTAATACACATAACGTTCTTTCGAACAGTACCTGAAAGTGTTCACTATCATTTCCTTCCTTAGCTCACAAAGGCACCATGAACTCCGTTTCGCATGTTAGGAAACAGGCTCAGAAATGTGAAATTATTCAATTGGTGGGCCTGGGATTGAACGCAAAAAAAGTCTCTGTCTCACCAGACCAAAAGATGAAAATCCGGATTGCACTTTGCCTCTTCACGCCTAAAGCAGACACAGCAAATAATCGATCACAGTGCTCTTTCCGCCTGACCTTAGACTGGGACTCGCAATCCTTCTTAACACAGAGACAAGTCTGCATTATGACTTTTGTGAACCTTAGGCATTTTTGCCTTTCTGGGCCCCTTCCTCCATTTAAAAGAAAAAAACAAATTTTAATTAGATTTTACAACCGCTTTGGTATAAAGATGAAAATAATCCAGGCTGGATTCATTATTATATATTCATTATTGTTAATATATTCTTTTTTACTTCTGATTTTAAAAGAAATTAAAATCAAAACATTTTCCTGGGCACCTAAAAGTATCGTGGGCCCTAGACACTGTGACTATTGTGTCTAATAGATAAGTCAGCTCTGCATGGAGCCCTTTGCTTGCACTCTGCTACCTCCCTGACTTGATTGCAAAGATATAAAAATCTTAGCGCTGCTATTTAATATCTATTTTCTGACCCATGCCATGGTTTTTTCAATCCCTTCGTATGCATGTGAAAGTTGGATAATGAAAAAGGAAGACAGAAGAAGAACCAATGCATTCAAACTGTGGTGTTGGCAAAGAATACTGAATATACTATAGCTTGCCAAAAGAACAAATCAGTCTTAGAAGAAATACAACCAGTTTCCTTAGAAGTAAGGATAGCGAGACTTTGACTCACTTACTTTCGACACATCATCAGGAAAGACCAACCGCTAGAAAGGGACACCGTGTTTCGTAAAGGGCCACTGAAAACAAGGGAAACCCTCAGAGATGGACTGATGCAATAGCTGTAACAATGGACTCAAACATACCAGTGATCATGAAGATGGTACAGGACCAGGCAATGTTTCGTTCTGTTATACATAAGGTCACCAGGAGTCCGAGCTCATTCGGCAACTAACTACAACAACTCTATAAATACATGAGAACACTGTGAATATAATTGGTGCTCTTCAGACTATTGACGCAGTAGGTGTGTCTAACACTGTTCACTGTTGCAGAAGTGTGAATTCATCCAAGCTTTCTGAAGGGCAATTTGGCTCAGTGAATCAAAACCCTAAAACATTTTGTTGGAACCAGTCATTCCACTTCTAAGAATTTGTACCAAGGTAATCATCAGCGATGCCCAATTGTTAGGTTAAGGTTATTTCTGGAAACTCTGTTTATCATGGTGAAAAACTGGAGTCACAACCGAAGCATGTCACAGTAGGGGATGAGTTAAATCAATGATGGTACCTCCACGGAATGGAAAACAACACAGTTGTTTAAAAGGATGTAGCATGATGTTGAATGACATGGGGAATGTTCACAGATACTGTACTAAAAGGAAAAAAAAACAGCTGTGAAACGGTAATGTCAGTTGGAAGCGGGATGCTCTGGGCTGCAAGTCACAGAAATCTCTACTTAAATTGGCTTAAACAAGAAAGAGAATCTGTTGACCCAAATTACAAAAAAGTCCAATGGCTGGGATGGCTTCAGGTGAGGTTTGATCCTGTTGATGAAGTCACCAAGTCCTTTTCTCTCTCCATTCTACTTTCTACAGTGTCAGCTTAACCTTAGGCAAGTTCCCCGAATAGTGTTAGGATAGCTGCTGCAGTAACCAGAGCTGTGGGCTTTTTTGTTCATATCTAATGGGAGGGAAGTCATCTTTTTTGTCACCTCCTCAGGAGAGAAAACAAGCTTTATTTCCCAAAAGCCCTCAGCAAGTCTCCTGATATTTCACTAGGCCATCCATGATCCAATGGTGTGGCTGGAGGAGTGGAAATTGCTCATTGGCTTAACCATTCAGGGCCCATTCTTCAAGCTGCGGGCAGGGATCATCATATTCCAGTTCCTGTTAAGAAGGATATAGACTGAATTGGACGTTACGGAGGCAACACAGTGGCCAACCAATTTTATAAAATATGTATATATAAATATACATGAGAAGTCCTGGTGGCACAGTTGTTAGGTGCTCAGCTGCTAACCAAAAAGTTGGCAAGTCAAACCCACCAGCCACTCCTCAGGAGAAAGATGTGGCAGTCTGCTTCCATAAAGATTACAGCCTTGGAAACCCAATGGGGTTTCTACTCTGTTCTATACAGTTGCTATGAGTCGCAATCAACTCAACAGCAGTGGTTTTTTTTGTTTTTGTTTTTTTTTTTAAGACAAAAAATATCTAAAAGGAAACAACCCAAAAAGTCAACCATGGTCACTTCTTGGTAGATGAAATTATAGATGATTTTTTTTTTCTCCTTTAAACTTTTTTCTCTCTTTTCTATAATAAGCATGTATTACCTAAACACAAATAGTAAGCTTTGTTTACAAAAAAATGAGACATATCCCACAGGTTCCCCACTACCACACTTCCCACCCCAGTAAGGACCCCAGAGTTGCTGAAGCCAGAAGCCCCGTGGAGCCTGTGGTTTTTCTGCTGACAGAGCTAAACCCCAGTGCCCCATGGGCCCATGCTATTTACTGGACAGTTGCCACCAAACCACTCTCATTGCATTAACCTGGACCATGCAGCCTACAGGGGCCACAGCTTGGGCTGCTAAAGGTTTGACCGGCCAGCCAGTGGAATCAGCGGTGGAGACACTGGCCACAGCTGTACTGGGAACATTCTGGCATTAGCAGCCATAGGAGGCCCAGGATTTCCCAGGACAGGTCTCTGCTTGGAATCCATGTTCCTTATATGGCAGTTTGTAATCTAGGCTAGCAGCGTTCCTTGGGTGGGGCTGAGGCCTGAGATGGGGTCAGGCTTAGACAGGATCAGGATTAGACTTTAGCCTAAGGTCAGGTTTAGAACTGAGTCTGGGGCTGGAGTTAGGGCTCAGTCAATGATTGGGCCTGGGGCTCAGTCTGTGCCCAGAGTCAGGGTTCACTCAGTGACTGGGCTCAGGGTTCAGCCATGACCAAGCTCAGGGCACAGCCTGAGATCAGGGCTCAGTGTGTGACCAGAATTGTGTGACCCAGGGTTAGGGCTCAGTCTGAGGTCAGGGATCAGTCTCTGAACAAAATCAGAGTTTAGCTCAGGTCACAGCTTAGTTAACTACTAGACTGAAGCTCACTCTAGATTCGGAGTCAGGGCTTAGTCTGAGATCAAGAGTTAGTCTAGAACGGGGTTAGAGTTCAGTCTTAGGGTAGGATCAGGGCTTAATTTGGGCTCAGAATCAAGGTCTCAAATTGGGATCAGCCTTAGTCAGGCTGGGATCAGGGCTCAGTATGTAATTAGAATCCGGGCTCATTCTAAGGCTATGGTTGGAGTTCACTCTAGAGCTGCAGTAAAGCCTCAGTCAACACGCAGATTAGAGCTTGTCTTAGTTATTTAGTGCTGTTGTAACAGAAATACCACAAGTGGATGGCTTTAACAAACAGAAGTTTATTTTCTCAGGTTAGGAGGCTAGAAGTCTGAATTCAGAGCGCTGGCTCTAGGGGAAGGCTTTCTCTCTTTCAGTTCTGGAGGAGGGCCCTTTTCTCTTCAGCTTGTTTCTGGGTTCCTTGGAGATATCCATGTGTCTTGGCATCTGTCTTATCCCATCTCCCCTCTGTTTGCTTGTTTAATCTCTTTTATATCTCAAAAGAGATTGACTTAAAATACACCCTACAGTAATCCTGCCTCATTAACTTAACAAAGATAACCCATTGCCAAATGGTATTATAACCACAGCCATAGAGGTTAGAATTTACAACACATATTTTTTGGGGGACATAAGTCACTCCATAAGGCAGCTCAGTTCGAATATAGGATCAGGGCCATGACTAGGGCTTAGCCTGGCTCCATGCCATGTTCTGAGCCCCAGTAAAGACATTTCTGGAGTCATGGGATCCCAGGGCAGGTCTGCCTGCAAGAAATGAGAAACCTAGTCAAGCCTAGCAGACCTTACTGGTCCCTGCAGTAAACCGCCTGCTGAGGCTGGGTGTCCTAGAGCCTTCTAACCTACATGCCTCTGCTGCTCAAGATCCCCTCGCACCAGAATAAAAATAGCCACTCACTTCAGAGCAGCTGACAGCGGGTGCCTGGGCTGCCTGGGAGGAGGGGGAGCTGAGGAGGAGGAGAGATGCCCGAGCTTCGCCCCAGCTGTGTGATCTTGGGAAAGTCACTCCTCCTCCTGAGCCCATTTCCCGGCAAAATGAGGAGTGAGGATGATGCTTGCCCCAGAGGGTAGGAGTGAGGGGCCAGTGACACAACACCTGGCACTTGTTACCAATAACAAACCCTCGATTGACGTTTTGAGAGATGTACTCCTCTAAGCCTTGAACACCTCCTCCTCAGGAGGTGCTCCCTGCTGCTTACCTTGTCCACCTTCCCATGGTATCCTATATCACCCTCTATGCCTCAAGACATTTCTCAGATGGGGGTCACACAGCATGACCTCCCTTGCAGTGGGTCTCGGTCAGGGTGACTGGGGGGAGAAGAAGGGAGCAAGATCCTTCTGTGCTGGTACCATCTTCAGTCACCCCCGGGAGGCAGGGCAGGAAGAGGAGGAGGAAAGAGGAGGGAGAAAAGCTCCTCTCCCTTCCCTGTTCATGATGTATTCACTCTGAGACAAACGGCCAGAAGGGCACATGTCCAGAACCTTCCACAGGCCATTCCTTTGCACCTGCTGCTCCCTCTGCTTCCCAGGGCATTTATCTTCTTTTCCATTGGGCATCACTGACTCTACTTCAAAGAAGGGGTTCAATGGTCGCTTCCTCGGTATGGGGGAAAATTACCCATTCCCTCCCTAGGAACCCCATATTCTGTCCCCTACTGGCTGTGTAATTCTTGGGCCTCAGTTTCTTCCTCTGTCCAATGGGGATCTTATTACCAATCTTACAGGATAACTATGGAGAGTAACTAAGATAATCCATGTCAACCACCAGCTCCCTCCCTTTCTATCCCATCCCCAAACAGCCTGAAGGGTGGCACTGAGAGTTTCCAGGAGGGGCCTGAAAGAGCTGTACCCTCCAACTCAGCACACACCCCTCCCCACCTCCCCAGAGTGAGGGAAGGAAGGGAGCCAGAAGGGGCTCCGGAGACAGCTGTCTCCAGGGGGGTGGCTCTCCCTGGCAGCTGCCCCCAGCCTGCCGCCCTGAGCCCTGGAGCCTGTTATCAACCTCTTTAGTCATCACACCAGGAGCTCAAATATAGCTCTTACCCGCTCCCTTCTCAGCAGGGGTCTACCTCCCCACCTTCCCACCCCCGACACACACTTCTCCTTCCAAGGCCAAGCCTGGATCTCAGAGCCCCTTCCCTTTCCTCCAACGCCTGCAACCACTGCAGGTCTTAGTTTCAGCATCCATCAAATGGGCAGGTTGGAGTAGCTAATGATGACGACGATGATGATGATAAGCAACAACAGAGCAGCTGCCTGGACTGAGAGCTTGCCTGTGCCAGATTCTGTGCTAAGCATCTCATATGTATTAGCATGTTGAGTTCTCACAGCAACCTCAGAAGTTATCTCCTAAGTTATCTCCCTTACATCTGAGTGACTTGCCCAGGGTTGTGCAGTAAGTCAGTGGCAGGACCAGAAACAAAGTCTCCTGCAAGGTCTGTGGTCAGGGAGGAGGACGGTAGGAAATTCTGGGGCAGCCCACTGGGGCAGAGGGATCCTCTACACACTTATTTGCATGGCATTTGCCTGGCTTCCAAAGAATGTAGAGCCCCTGTCCTGGCCCCAGTTGATCCTTAGGACTAGTCCCAGGGGCCTGGATGTGCTCTCCACCCAATCAAGGATTGCATCAGAAGCTGGGTATTCTTGGGGGCCTCAGTTTCCTCATCTGTAAAATAAAAGTCAGAGGGCTGGGCAGGGTGAGTTCAAAAGCTCCTTCCTTCTCTGGCGCCCTAGCAGCCCCACCATGTCCACTCTCACCTCCTCCCTCACCACCACCACTACCTTCACTTCCAATCCTACCATCACCTCTTCTTCCATCAACAAAACAACTCTACCACCTCTTCTACCCTCCTCTTCTCCTCCACTTTTACTACCACCATCATCACTATTACCACCATCCCTTCATTCCACCACCTCCACCCTCACCCTGGTCTGTACCTTTGTTATCACCTCCACCACTGCCATCACCTCCTCTATCTCCACTGTCACCATTATCCATACCATCATTATCACCCCTACCTTTGCCATTACTGTCACTCTACCACCTCCATTTATCTGAACCATCACTGTCACCTTCCTCTTTGCCATCACTATCACCTCCACCATCACTCAGTCCACCACTTCCATCATCATAGTTACCTACATCATCTCCACCACTACAATCACCTCCCCCATCACTGCCCAAATTTTTTCTACCCCAGGGCACTAATATGGCCCGAGTCTCTGCCCCCTGCAAATTCCAGCCTCACAGAGATGCTGGCCCAAATACCAGACTAGATCTAGAAACAGTCCAGCAGAGGGGAGAAACCCATCCAGGAGAGGAGAGTGTCCACATGACCTTCAGGTAGGGCACCACACAGAACCACACATGAGGATGCAGAGACAACTGCTGACCACAGGAAGCTCTGGGCACAGAACTCTGGACATTTTGTGCCTAAACTGGTTGGGATCACTCCTCTCTAAGCAATCCAGGAATTCTGGAGGGACTGCTTAGCAGATAGAAATGGGAGTAGGAGGAGGAAGAAGCAGAGGGCCCAGACCCTTGAGTCACTCCTTCACTCTTTCCAATAATTCATTCATTCATTCAACAAACACTATCCAAGGCCTGTTGGGGACCAGTTCCTATGGTGAGTCTTGGCCAAGGAGCTCCCAGGCCTGTTTTTGACCCACCTGCCAGTGTTATCCTACTGCTGGAGCCTTCTGCACCCCACTTCCCTTCCCCAGCTACCCCAACTGGCTCTTGCTAGTCTTGGATCCCTTTTCCTCACTGAGACTCAGGAGATCTCCTCAGCTCTCCGGGTGACCTAGAGCAAGTCCAGCTCCCTCTCTGGGCCTGCGTGTCCCCCTCCCAAACCACAGCTAGTGAGCACTGGAGAGAGGAAAGCTGAGAGGAGCTGGGCTGGAACAGGCCTAGCTGGGGGCATACAAAGGCAAACGAGGAGTCTGCAGAAGATGAGAGGCCAGCGCTGAGGCTGAGATGGGAAAGGGCTCCAGTGGCTAGAGCCTGAGTGCCCGGCTCTTGGATGGGAGGGACAGAGCCAGGCTAGGGTGGGGTGGGGAGGGAGGGGCACTGAGGCCTGAAAATGGGGCAAGGGTGGGGGCCAGGGCAAGCCCTGAGCTAGCCGGAAGTCAGGAATGTCACATGATCTGGGCTGGGACTCAGGTGTCCCTGAGGCCCTGAAGAGGGTGCTGACCTCTGAGTCACCTGTCCCTACCTCACCCTCAGGTGTGTCAATGCCCCACCCGGAGCAAAGCCTGGCCTATTGCGGAAGGGTGGGGGCAGACAGATGGCCTTCTCCATGCTGCCAGTGGGGACCCAGGCCAGGCCGATGTGCACATCTCCCTGCCTCCCATGGCCGTTCTAGCCTCAGCAGCCTGCTTGAAGTGTTCTTAGGGGGGCAGCCTCCTTGCCCTGGACATCTCCAGGTTGGAAAGTAGGCATCTGTGCCTTTAAATTCTCAGCAGGTTGAAGCGGCTGATGACATCACTGGTTCCCGGGAGCGGGGGAGCTAGAGCCAGAGCCCAAGGGAGCCCGGGCTGCTGGGGGCTGCAGACATGGAGGGCCGGAGCGGCAGTGGCAGCGGGAGGCCGGGGACCCTGGCTGGCCTGTGCCCTCTGCCCGTGCCCCATGGGGTTTCCCAAACTGGGGTGTCCTCCAAGGTAAGACCACTAAAACCCAGGTGCCCCCATTCCCGATCCCTGGGCCCACGCCCCCCCCCCCGCCGCCTCAGGCACCCTCGTGTCTCTGGCTGAGGTGTTGGCACTCTCCTCTGCCCACTGAGCAAGGACTGGGCAAAGAGGGTAACCTAGGGGTTGGGAGGGTAGTGATAGATGCCCAGAGAGAGATGGAGTTAGCCACCTCCAGAATCCCCCACGAGAGCCCTGAACTGGGTGGCAGGGGATCCAGCTGTGCTCCAGGTTTGCTGTGTGACCTTGGGCAAGTTGCTTGTCCTCTCTGAGCCAATTCAAAATGAGAAGGCTTGTCCCTGAAGACTAAAACTGTGACATCTGGGATGTCTAAGTTGTTAATGCTGGAGGCAGTGTGGCGGTGGTGGCAGTTGGGGGGACTTGCACAGTGTGACACTTGGAAAGAAGGGAGATGCCGTAAATGCTCCCTCAAAGAGCTAAGTTTGGGGAGGGAGGTGGAGGCAGAGTTTCAGGTTCTCTGAATCGAGAAGGACGCAGGATGGGACACAGACAGAACTGTGTCTCTGGAGGCAGGGATGGGGCCACTCTGGTGAGTGTAGACTTTCTTCCACCCTCCCTGGCAAAGGACCTTCATCCAGTCTCCAGAATGAAGGGACATCAGAAACTGGAGACAGATGGGGAGCAAAGAGAGGTCCTTGCAGGACACTGCTCCCCTGCCCCAACCTGCTGGACATAAAGGGGATACCTGCTTGCCTGTCTTCACAGGTTGGGGAGAGGGGAAGGGGTAAAAAGGCACAACTTTGGGCACAGAGAGGTGTGATGCCAGGACCAGCTTAGAAGCCTGGACTCGCTCAGAATGGTAGAATCACACTCGGTGAGGATGGACTCTTCCATAGGACTCAATGGAATCCTAGTGAATGTTGGGCTCATAAATGCAGAGAATATGAGAACAAGATTCTCTAGAATATGCTGTGGCTAGAGCCCCTTCACTCAGCACCTTCATTTTACAGCCAGGGAAACTGAGGCCCTGGGCAGAGAGGTGCTTGCCTAAGGGTACACAGAAGCCGGGCTTGGAATCTGCAGGGCCAGTCTCAGCTCCAGGCTCTTGGCCCTGCATGGAGCTCTGGGCATGGGTGAGGAGGATAGGGAGGGCTGTGGGCAAGGAGTTTGGGATGTTTGGGGGGACCTGAGGGTTCCTAGGCACTGTGGAAGAAGAGAGGGGAATTTAACAGGTTGGACCAAGTGTGCCCAGAGTGTGTAGACCTGGGATGTTAGGTCATCAGCCCTCGGCTGGGGAGCAGCGGGGACTGCAGAGGAGGGTTGCTCGAGGAAGCTGGGTCCAGCCACCCAATACTCGAGGGTGGGCAGGAAGTGGGTGCCGGCCAGGAAGGCAAGGAGAGCCCTCGGGTTCAGGCTCACCCTCTGCCTGATGCTTCCCCATCTGTGAAAGAGGTTTCAGACTTGGGGGAGGGGACAGAGTTCTGTGACCTGTCTCCTCTAAGAGAGGAGCTGACCTGCAGCAGAATGGATTGAGGTGAGATATTAGGAAGAACTTCCTTCGAAAGATGTGTCTTTGTTAGCTAGATGGGGTCTGCCTGGGTCTCTATAGAAGTTAGGGCCCAATACCCTGGTCAGGGTCACCCTGAGTCTTTGACTTGTCCTCTGCAAGGTGGACTCAAGTTTTCAGCTCCCGGCAAAGGGGAATGCAGCTCCAGTACCCTCGGAACCAAGGTTGGCTCTGGCACCTGTGAGGCCACAAGCAGCTATGTCACCTTCCTCAAAGGGACTGAGGCTGACTCTGGCATCTCCCCGACCCGTCCTGGCTCCATTGTCTACCCCTGGGGGACAGAAAACATCTCCTGCCCGCCGCAGCTCCAGCCTGGCTCCAACATCTGTGGGCCAGCTGGTGATGTCTGCCTCAGCTGGGCCAAAGCCTCCCCCAGCGATCTCAGGCTCGGTCCAGGCTCCAACCTCCCTGGGGCAGCTGGTGATGTCTGCCTCAGCCAGGCCCGGGTCTCCCCCAGCCACCCTGGGACCCAGTCTGGCTCTGGCTTCCCAGGATCAGAAGCAGGTGCCACCTGCCTCCATGGGACCCAAGCCAGCACTGGCTGTCTCGGGCCTAAGCCTGGCCCTGGCTTCTGAGGAGCAGCCCCCACCACCTCCCTCCAGCCCCTCCCTGGTGCCTAGTCCGATTCTTTCACCCTCTCAGGAACTGACCCCAGCTCCAGCATCTATGACATCAGCCCCGGTCTCTGTGGGGCGGACACCTGCTAGACAGAGGGATGCCCCAGCCCCTAGACTTCTCCCCTCTTCTCAGGGGCGTCTCCAACCTCCGGCTCAGGCATCTGGTCCTGTGTGCTCTCCATCGTCAACCCAAGCTCCCCCAGACCCCCGGTTCTCCCCCTCCTTCCGAGCCCGGCCTGAGGCCCCCCACAACAGTCCTGAGGATCCCGTTCTGCCATGGCCACCAGAGACCCTGCCCCTGGATGTGGGCCACAGCCCTCCAGAGCCTGGCACCCACTCCCCTGGACTGCTGTCCCCCACCTTCCGGCCAGGGGGCTCCTCCGCCCAGACAGTGCCCCCAACTCTGCCCAAACCACCCCGATCTCCCAGCCGCTCCCCCAGCCGCTCCCCCTGTGCTCCCCTAGCCCCTGAGGTGGCCCTCTCCAGGCCTGGCACCCAGGGTACAGGGTCTGGTGGGCGCCTGAGCCCCAGCCTTCAGCCTCGAGAAGCCCCAGCCCCGGTCACCACCTCTCCTCCTACATCCACCTCATCATCCTCTTCTTGGTCAGCACAGCCTACCTGCAAGAGCGACCCTGGCTTCCGGTGAGGGGGCCTTTCTCCCAAGAAAGGTTGTTGGGGGCTTGAGCTCTGAGATTAGCCACTCTTCCAGGGCAGCTCACCCTACTCTGCCTCAGTTCGCCTCCCAGAGGAAGAGTGCTTGGGGGCGCTAGGCCCACTCTGGGATCCTTTGAAGACAGCATGCCCTCCTGATAGACCTCCTCAGAGAGACCTCAGAGGCGGGACAGTGGCCCCCTGTGGACCTTCTGAGGGTTTATAGCCACTCCTGCCTCAGTTTATTTCCCCCAAAGAGATCCCTGAGGGAGGGGGGTTGAGGGTGAGTGGAGTGATACCCAGCAGTAACCCCTCCTGTGCCCCCACCCCCCAGGATCACTGTGGTCACGTGGAATGTTGGCACTGCCATGCCCCCTGACGATGTCACGTCCCTCCTCCACCTGGGCGGCGGTGATGACGGCGACGGTGCCGACATGATTGCCATAGGGTGAGGGGGGAGTGGAAGTGGACCTCCTCCCGGGCCTCCTGGACCCCTCAGGCCCCCACCCATTGGAGGCGCTTTTAGGGTGTCCCGCAAACCGATGCCCTCCCCCCTCCCCCAGGCTGCAGGAAGTGAACTCCATGATCAACCAGCGGCTCAAGGATGCGCTCTTCACGGACCAGTGGAGCGAGCTCTTCATGGACGCGCTGGGGCCCTTCAACTTCGTGCTGGTAACGCCCCTTCAGCCCCTGGACCTGCCGAGACCCCGCTGGATTCACGGCCCCGCCTCCGCCTTGACTAACTGTAGGGCCCGCGGGTCTCTGGCGCCCGGTCAGTGAAATGGGAGAATGGAGGAGCAGACCTTACAGCCCAGGGAGAAGGTGGGGGGCGGGCCGGGGGAGCTGTGTCCAGCTCCCCAGCCACGTCGCCTCCCGCTGCAGGTGAGCACTGTGCGGATGCAGGGCGTCATCCTGCTGCTGTTCTCCAAGTACTACCACTTGCCCTTCCTGCGGGACGTGCAGACCGACTGCACGCGCACCGGCCTGGGCGGCTACTGGGTGAGTGCGGAAGCGGCCAGGGAGGGCACGAGGCCCGAAGAGGGCCAGAGATTACTCCTCTCCCCCGACCTACTGGTGGGGAATCCTTCCCAGGCTCTCCCCCTTCCCCCTTGGCCCGACCCTCTTCAAATCCTACCCCATAACCCACTCAATTTCCTTAGGCCCCACCCCTTTCGGTCCCCGTTTCTTTCCAGTGTTCCGCCCCCTTTCCTAGGACCCACCCCTCTCCGTACTTTGTCCCCCGGCTGGCTGGCCCCGCCCTTCGTGCCCTGCCCAGTGCCCCACCTCCTTGCCTAGATCCCGCCCCTAACCCGCCTACCCCCGCTTCCTCCCCAGGGTAACAAAGGCGGAGTGAGCGTGCGCCTGGCAGCCTTTGGGCACATGCTCTGCTTCCTCAACTGCCACCTGCCAGCACACATGGACAAGGCAGAGCAGCGCAAGGACAACTTCCAGACCATCCTCAGCCTCCAGCAGTTCCAGGGGCCCGGCGCACACGGCATTCTGGACCACGAGTATGGGCTGGGGCGGGGCCAAATGGAGATGAGGCGGGGCTAGCGAAGGAGGGGTGGGGCCTCAGAAGCGAGTCTCTCGGCAAACTTCAATGAGGAACCGGAGTACGGGCCTGGGTGAGGTTTGTGGGAAGAGGCGAGACCAATCGGGGTGGGTGGTCCCCCAAACTACATGTAGGAATAAGAACGTAGGTAAGAGTTTGAAGGGAAGTGGCGAGACCTGTAGAGTGGAGCCTTGCAGAATGAGGGGCAGGTCCTCTCTGAGAGGCGGGGCCTAACTTTCCTCTACACCGTCGTCCCCCTGCGATGCTGTTTGGAAGGCTGGAGGTCCTGGCACCCCTCACCTACCCACTGCAAAGCCCAAAGCCAGGAGACTCCCGCCCCTCCAGCCCCCGTCCCCGATACGGTTGGGATTGGAAGGGGTCCAGGAAGGGATCTAGATTGAGCCCTTCCTCCTCATGGACCCCGCTGACTCCCACCACCCAATAGCCTCGTGTTCTGGTTCGGGGACCTGAACTTCCGCATCGAGAGCTATGACTTGCACTTTGTCAAGTTCGCCATTGACAGCAACCAGCTCCACCAGCTCTGGGAGAAGGACCAGGTGTGGGATCTACCTGTACCTCCAAATTCCTAAGCATACACAGCATGCCCAGCACACACCTGTACCCTCAGTTATGCTCCTTGCCCTCACCTGCCCCGCTCTGCCCCTTCCCGGGGTTAGGTTCTAGAAGTTGGGGAGGGGCCTGCCCAGGCTATTGTGCAATTCTTCCGTTCTGGACCCTAACAGCTCAACATGGCCAAGAACACCTGGCCTATCCTGAAGGGCTTCCAGGAGGGACCCCTCAACTTTGCACCCACCTTCAAGTTTGATGTGGGTACCAACAAATATGATACCAGGTGAGCTCACCTGTGGAGTGGGGTGAGGATGTGGGCTGAAGTCTTTTGGAGAAGGAGACTTGGGAAGAGGGACAGGAGGCGAGGCTAGGGGCTGTGCCTTGACCCCCAGGCCCTGAAACTCAGGCTACGTCTACCCACTTCAGCGCCAAGAAGCGGAAGCCAGCCTGGACAGACCGTATCCTGTGGAAAATCAAGGCTCCAGGTGGGGGTCCCAGCCCTTCAGGACGGGAGAGCCACCGACTGCAGGTGACCCAACACAGCTACCGCAGCCACATGGAGTACACAGTCAGTGACCACAAGCCCGTGGCTGCCCAGTTTGTATTGCAGGTGAGTTCTGGCTTCACCCACCCCTCCTGACATCCTCAGGCCTAACTCAGCATCCCACTGCCCACCAGCAACCCCTTGCACCTGTCCCCAGTAGCATCCATTCATCGTAGCAGAGTAGAGGTTATGATCTCCGTTTTCAGATGAGGAAACTGAGGCTCAGAGACATGACATCATTTGCCCAGGATTACACAGCTAGTAAGAGAAAGAATTAGGACTTAAACTCAGTCCAGTCTGATTTCAGAGCCCATAGTCTTGGTGGTGCAAATGGTTAAGCTCTCGGCTGCTAACCGAAAGGTTGGTGGTTCGAATCCATCCAGCCACTACACAGGAGAAAGACCTGGCAATATGCTTTCATAAAGATTACAGCCTAGAAAACCCTATGGGGCAGTTCAGCTCTGTCACACGGGGTCACTGAGTCAGAAGCGACTTGACAGCTCTTCAGAGCAACAACAAGAATTTCCGCTAGTCTTCTGTATTTCACTTCTTCCAAAAAAGATTTAGGGCATCTCATGTTAAAATTCACGTATGTAATAAAACCAACGATATCAAAATGTATACTCAACTCCCATGTAGCATTCGTTAATCCATTCATTATTTACTGAGTACTTACCATATGCCAGTCACTATAAGAGTGATGAAGGAGCCCTGATGACGCATTGGTTAAGTGCTTGGTTGCTAACTGAAAGGTCGGTGGTTCAAACCCACCAGCTGCTCCAAGGGAGAAAAATGTGACAGTGTGCTTCTATAAAGACTCACAGCCTTAGAATCCCTATGGGGCAGTTCTACTCTGTCCTGTTTGGTCACTTCAAATCAGAATGACTTGACAGCAATGGGTTTGGTTTTTTTGTTTTTTAATAAGAGTGACAGAGAAGAGTAAAGATATTCAAAACAAAACAAAAACAAAAACCCTAAATTCTAAATAAGAAAAAAAAAGCCAAACCCATTGACGGTGAGTCAATTCCAACTCATAGCAACTGTATGGGAGAGAGTAGAACTGCCCCATAGGGTTTCCAATTAGTGGCTGGTGGATTCAAACTGTCGACCTTTTGGTTAGCAGCCAAATGCATAACCACTGTGTTGCCAGGGCTTCAAACTCTAAATACTTACTATAGTTTAGCATCCAATTTAGGGTTGAGGTCCCTGGTTGCCAGAGGAAAAAGGGGGAGATCTTAGAATGTCAGAACTAGACCTGAGAGAACATCCTGCTTTTCAGTGGGGAAAATTAGACACCCTGAGAGAGAGGGTAGGCCCGTGACCCAGGCGATGCACAGGCTCTGTGACAGAATGGAATAGAACCTATCTTTGCAGCCCTGCAACCCAACTCTGTGCTCTTTGATTCTTTTGATCTGACAAGGGGGAGCCCTGCAGGCCAGAGCGTTTTCCCTGCTAACTTTGTCATGTGGTCAGTCAGTGAGACACTGGCAGTGTCCTCAGCAGGGAGCGGAAATCTGCCTACTCCTGGCCTCCTGTGACCTTTCGTAAAGGGCTTGGGAGTGAAGTTTAACCCTCAGTCAGGGACCTCACCTTGGGAACTGCTCCTTTTGGGCACCCCACCCTGTCCTTCCCTCCTCATCCAGGAGCCTCTAGAAATGTTACCTGTTGAGCACTTGCCACACGCCAGGCCTTGTGTAGGGCACTGTACATATGTCCTTCCTTTGAGTGCCTCAGTAGGCCCTTAGATGTCCCAATTCCTCTCCCCGTTTTACTGGTGAGGGAAGCTGAGGCTCACAGAGCTTAACTTCCTTGCTAAAGGCAACACAGTTAGAATGGGCCTCAGCGGGAGTTTTAACCCTGCAAGACTTTATAGGGCATTTCTGAGGACCCACCCTGGGGGCAGGGAAAGAATGTGCTAGTTTCCTCTAGAGAAGTTGGCTGAGAAGCTAAGGAGGGAGGGAGGAAAACCTGAAACCAGGTAAAGAGGGGAGTAGACAAAGACCTGAGGCTGGCACCACCTGAGCCCTTCCCTCAGGGACAGAGGTAGAGCCAATACCTTCACCACTCGCCACCCTGGGCAACCCCACCCACACTGGTAACCCCCTGATCAGCCTGAAATGGGGGGAGGATTCCTATAATTTATCCTCATGGAGTGATGACTAGGCAATAGCCAATGGCCCTGGTACAGATGGGGAAACTGAGTCTCAATGGCTAGGGGCTTACCCGAAGTCACACAGCAAGTTAGTGGCATAGCCTGGAAATGACTGAGGCCTCCAGTCTCCTTCCAGGGCTCTTACCCTAGAATACCCAGTGCATCATGGGACTTTACCTGTCTCCCTTGCTGGCATATAGGCAAATCATTTATTGAGCACCTACTGTGTTCTAGGAAGTTTATGGGATGCTTTACAAATGGTATCTCATTAAATCTGCAGAACACCCCAAGAATTAAATAAGAGCATCCAGTTCATAGACAAGGGTCCTGGCGTTCAGAGAGGTTGAGGAATTCTCCTAGTGCCACACAGCCTGTAAGTGGCAGAGCCAGGGCCAAACCTAAAGCTGTTCGTACTCCCTAAGGAGGCTGTGAGCAGGGAGCCTGGGCTGGGAGGCAGGGAGACTGGCATGTATCCCAGACTGGTTCTGCCTCAGTTGCCCAGTGGCTCAGAAACCCTTTGTCTCAGTTGCTCTGTGCTAACCCTGAGACCCAAAGCCCTAGGTGCCTGGGGTACTAGAGAGTTGCCCCTGATATTGCCCCTGCCTCCGCCTTGCCTGGGCAGTTTGCCTTCAGGGACGACGTGCCCCTGGTGCAGTTGGAGGTGGCCGACGAGTGGGTGCGGCCGGAGCAGGCTGTGGTCAGGTACCGCATGGAGATGGTGTTTGCCCGCAGTTCCTGGGACTGGATCGGCTTGTACCAGGTGAGAAGGGTAGGGGCGGTCAGCCATTCAGGGCAGGAAGGGACACCAAGGTGGGGTGACTGGTTTGTCCAGAGTTTGATGCCAGACCCAGAGGGAGGCGTTAGGGGTCATAACCCTGAATCCTCTCACCCTAGGTGGGTTTCCGCCATTGCAAGGACTACGTGGCTTATGTGTGGACCAAACATGAGGATGTGGATGGGCACGTCTACCAGGTATTTAGGGAAGGGGGGAAGGGGAGGAGTCCCCATTGCCTTTAGGGGCTCAGAGCTCAGCTTGGGGGAGCCCTGAGGCTGACCCTTGGACCTCGACCTGGGCCATTACCCGGGGCCCACCAGGTGACATTCAGTGAGGAGTCGCTGCCCAAGGGCGATGGAGACTTCATCCTGGGCTATTACAGTCACAACCACAGTATCCTCATTGGCGTCACTGAGCCCTTCCAGGTAAGGAGGCCAGACTGCAGGTCAAGGGATGCCCAGAGACCCTGTTCAGATTCCACAGCCTGACCTCCCTGAGTCTGCCAAGGGGAAGGATGGAGGATGTCTTAGTTATCTAGTACTGTTATAACAGAAATACCACAGTGAGTGGCTTTAACAGACAGAAATTTATTTTCTCACAGTTTGGGAGGCTAGAAGTCAGAATTCAGGGCGCTGGCTCTAGGGGAAGGCTTTCTTTCTCTATTGCCTCTGGAGGAAGCTCCTTGTCTCTTTTGAGCTTCTGCTCCCGGGTGACCTTCATACGGCTTGGCATCTCTCTTCCTCCATCTCTGCTCTGCTTGCTTGTTTAATCTCTTTTCTATTTCAAAAGAGATCGATTTAAGACACACCCTATACTAATACTGCCTCATTAACATAACAAAGAAAACCCATACCCAAATCGGATTATAACCACAGGTATAGGGGCTAGGATTTATAACACTTATTTTCGGGGCACACAATTCAATCCATAACATTCTACCCTTGACCCCCCAAAATTCATGTGCTTGTCACGTGTAAAACACATTCACCCCATCACATCATCCCAAAAGTCTTAAATCCACTCCAAGTCTAAACCACATCTTCTGAATTATCTGAATCAAATATGCATGAGACTTTAGGTGTATTCCATCCTGGGGAAAAATTCCTCTTCTATGTGACCTGTGAAATCTAGATTACAAGTTATCTGTTTACAATGTACAATTGTGAAACAGACACAAGTTAGACATTTCCATTACAAATGGGAGAAATTGGAGGGAAAGAAGGGATAACGGGCATCAAGTAAGTCCAAAACCCAGCAGAACAATTTACATTAGCTCTCAAGGCTTGAAAATAATCCTCTGTTCTCTGAGACCATCTGAGCAATGGTCCCGCCCTCCAGACTCTGGGTGTTGGCCATGCCCTCCGCCCTGGGCTTCAGCTTTACCTTCCAGGCCCGCTGGGACAGCAACTCTGCCTCCTCGGCTTTGGGTGGCCCTGTTCTCCTAGTCAGAGTGACAACCCTACCCCCTCGGCCCTGGAAGTCCCCGTTTTTCTGCCCCTTGGGCATGGCAGCCCTGCCCCCTCTGCTTTGGGCAGTAGCCTCATCCCCCTGGCACACCTTAATGGCAGCCCCACACTCCAGAACTGAGTTGGTAAAGACCCAACTCTTTGAAACCTAGAGGTCTGTAGCCCCACCCTTTGAGATCCTGGAGACTGTGGCCCCATCCTTTGAAACCCCAGAGGCCATGGCCCCAGCCTTTGAGACCCAAGCAGCTCTGCCTCCTGTGCTCATTCCAACAGTTCTGCTGATCTCTCTCTGAGCTGCTCCAGGGATGGTCCTTTTCTTTTCTTGGACAACAGATATAGCTCCTTTGTCCTGTTTCCCGCTGGTAGTATTCCAAGAGGCAGACAACGTTCTCTCCTTTCATTCTTTCTCCGTCCCCCTCAGTTTAAGCTGATGGGTTTTCTGCTGTGGTAGTTGATTAGATCCATTAATCACAGGCTTAATATCTTTAATAAAAATTTGTGTAGTCATATCCTTGGTGAAAATTCTGGGATACACATACTTAGTTTATACAACAGAATTTTCCAAATCTTTCAGTTTTGTTTTCATTTTGCACAGTTCATTTTTAAGTCCATTTCTTTCCTCTTGCATGTTAGTATGAGAAGCAAGGAGTAACCACGCAACCGCTTTAAGATCTTGCTTAGAAATCTCTTCAGCCAAATATCCAAGTTCATCACTTATAAATTCTACCTTCCACCAAACATTTGAACATAATTCAGACAAGTTCTTTGCCACGCAATAAAAACCATTGCCCTTCTCCCACTGTCCAATCACATGTGTATCATTTTCTTTTAAAGCCTCACCAAAATCACATTTAACATCCACATTTCTAGCAGCCTTCTGTTGCTGGCGCCACACGTATTCTCTAAGATGGTAGAGCCTTTCTCTATAGTTCTCCCTACTTTCTGAGCCCTCAGCAGAATTGCCTTTGACATCCATAATTCTACCAACAGTCTCTTCAAGGCAATCTAGGCTTTTATTATTAGGCACCTTAAAACTCTTTCAGTGTCTACCCATTACCCAATTCCAAAACTGCTTCCACATTTTACGTACCTGTTAGAGCAGCATCCCACTCTCAGTACCAAATTTTGTCTTAGTTATCTAGTGCTGCTATAGCAGAAATACCATGAATGGGTGGCTTTAACAAACAAATTTATTTTCTCACAGTTTAGGAGGCTAGAAGTCAGAATTCAGGATGCTGGCTCTAGGGGAAGGCTTTCTCTTTCTGTTAGCTCTGGAGGAAGGTCCTTGTTTCTTTTGAGCTTCTGCTCCTGGGTGATCTTCATGTGGCTTGTCATCTCTCTTCCCCCATCTCTGCTCTGCTTGCTTGTTTAATCTCTTTTGTATCTCAAAAGAGATTGATTTAAGATACACCCTACACTAATCCTGCATCATGAACATAACAAAGACAACCCATTCCCAAATGGGATCATAACCACAGGCATAGAGGTTAGGATTTAAAACAAATATTTTGGGGGAACACAATTCAACCTATAATATGGGAGTTCCAAGAAGCCCTAGTAGTTGGGTTGGGGATTGGGGTACCCCAGTAACCACAGTTCCCCCCAGATCTCACTGCCTACCTCGGAGTTGGCTAGCAGCAGCACAGACAGCTCGGGGGCCAGCTCGGAGGACGAGGACGACAGCACCCTGGAGCTGCTCGCACCCAAGTCACGCAGCCCCAGCCCTGGCAAGTCCAAGCAGCACCGCAGCCGCAGCCCAGGCCTGGCCCGCTTCCCTGGTCTTGCCCTGCGGCCCTCATCCCAAGAACGCCGTGGTGCCAGCCGCAGCCCCTCACCTCAGAGCCGCCGTCTGCCCCGGGTGGCTCCTGATAGGGCCAGTGATGGTGGCAACCGGGGCAGTAGTGAGGAGGGGCCTTCCAGGCTGCCTGGCCCTTGGGCCTTCCCACCAGCTGTGCCTCGAAGCCTGGGCCTGCTGCCTGCCTTGCGTCTGGAGACCATAGACCCTGGTGGTGGTGGTGGCAGTGGCTCTTGGGGACCTGCTCTGGAGGCCCCAGCCCCCAACAGTCTGTCTCCGAGCCCCCAGGGCCAGCAGGGGCTGGAAGAGGAAGGCCTAGGACCCTGAGGAGCAGAGTGAGGACCCACCTGCCCACTCTGCCCCAATCTTCCACAAACCCGCCTGCCTCCCTCCCACTGCTGCTCCAGCTCAGTGTGCACGTGGGGGTAGTCAACTGGGGACCCCCAAAAGTCAGCCCCCACATCTCAACTGTGACAATCAGCAAAGCCCCATCCTGGCCCCCCATCTGGAATGGGGGGGAACTGTGGCAGATGTCCCATTCTGGACATCATCATTAGAAATTAAATTCTCCAGCCTCACTCCTCCTGGCTCTTTCCTAACTTGTTAGCAGGGTGCGGGGGTGGGGGGAGGGTGATTATGTCAGCGGAAGGGATTCAAGAGGCAAGGGGGTGAGAGAACTGACATTTATGTTACACGCGCCATCTCCTTTAATCTGCACCACCACCCTGTGGGTTCAGGGCCATTCTTAGACCTATTTCACAGGTGAGGAAACTGAGGCCTCCAAGAGGATCTGTAAGCCTCTCAAGATCAGACACCTAAGCACAGTTTGGCTGTGCATTGGAGGGAGGAAATGTTTCCTAGGTGCTAAGCACTGGATGTGTACTAGTTCACTTAATCCTCAACAACCCTACGAATTAGCTCCTCTTCACGGTCCCCTTTCTCAGAGGAGGAAACTAAGGCTCAGAGTAGGCAGGGGGTGGGGGGCGTCCCTTTCCCAAGGGAATGGGGAGAATCAGATTTAGGGCTGAAAGAATGGTCTAGGGCTGGGCCAGGAGAGATACAACAACTGTTAAGGGGCCCCTGGGGTGAAGTGGAGTTGGGAGGCCCCTCCCCAGTGCCATTGTCCTGGGTTCAGACATAGGCATTTCTGTGACATCTCTCATTCTCCACCTGCTGCCCAGGCAACCCTGCAGCAGCCAGGCACTGGGGGTCCTCTGGACAGGCCCATGAGCCACATATTAATTTTGCAACATAAGCATACCTCCCAGCACCTCCTGGGCAGCTGCAATAAGTTACCCTCTCCCCATTCCCAACTGGACATGAAAGTCCCTGGCAAGGCCCAAGCCCAGGGCCTCAGAGTGAGCCTCCTGAATACCACATCTGGGCACAGGGGTTGTGTCTTCAGTCCACGGTCACCCAGAGCAGCAGGAGAAAAGGGCCAGCGCTTGGGCCGTGGGTTCCTCCCCTTCCAGCCTCTGGCTGTCCACAAATGTCTCTGCCGTGCTTCAGTCTAACACATGAAGGGGGGCAAGGCCCCCAGGGCCTGGCAAAGCCAGGGTAAAGGTCCAGGCTGGTGCCTAGGAGAATCAGAACTGAGGTCAGTGGCTCCAGGATTTTTGCTGCCCACCAGGGCTCCGGACTGCCTGGGTCAGCCACAGGCACTGGTCGTAGAATGTCATGGGGGCCCCTGTGGGCTCCAAAGGCCACGCCTGCCCCTCATCTGTGCCTGCACCCCGGAGCTGAAGTCGCCTCTGCTGAAGCCGCCGCAAATGTCGAGCTGACACCTTGATGGCCCTAGGGCCTCCAGGACAGCTGTGGGGAGAGAAGAGTGGTACAGGTGGCCAGGGCTGGCAAGGATCCCACCCTACTCTTCAGACAGGGAGACCAAGGCCCAAAGAGAGCAGGAGTGGGGCTAGGGCCACCAGCAAAGCAGGGAGGGAGGGTTACATCTAGAAGGCGGGCAGAATAAACCCTAGGCTGGGACCCAAAGCCTGGGTTCTGCACTAACTAGCTAGCTGTGGGACCCTGGGCCAGTCTGGGCCTCAGTTTCCTCCCCTGTGAAATGGGAAAGGTCACAGGGGTTAGCTTTGAGGCTCAGCATCAAATGAGATTGAAATTAGTGTTAAGAGTTAAGCAAGCAGATAGGCCTTGGGTTAATTGGGTCAAACACGTCATCTCCTTGGCTTCTACAGCCATTTCACAGATAAGGAGATGGAGGCTCAGAAAAGTCAATCGATTTGGCAAGGTCACACAGAAGGTAAATGACAGCTGAGCTACCACCCACACAGGCCAACTGCAGAGCTCCAGTTGCACCTGGGTGCTGAAGGGGGGTAATGACAATGAGCTCAGAGTCCCTGGACTCCTCCTATACCTCCTCGTCTAGGTGCACAAAGGGGGTGTAGGCCTCCTATGCCCCACCTGGCCCCACCATCACTCACCTTTTGCCCTCAGCACAGTCCAGCGGAGGGGCCAGCTTGAAACAGGTCTGGCCCAGCAGCTCCCAAAGCGCACTGGTGCCTGCAGGTGGGCTGTGGAATCTCAGGAAGCGCACCAGGCTGAGGACAGAGGCAGGCTCAGGCTGGGCAGGGTCTTGCCAGCCAGGGGCCCTGTCCCAGTGCCTGGCAGCAGGGACCCACCCCCACGGTCCAAGTGGCCTCACCGGCGCGTGCAGTTGCAGTGGAAGAGGGGCTCACGGGCGCTGTTGAGCAGCTGGAACTTGGTCTCCTGGGGCCTGATCTGGTGCTCACACTGGTCCAGACTGCGGAAGCTGCGACAGGCATGGCGAGGGCCTGAGGGCAGGTGTAGTAGTAAGGGGAGCCCAGTGCCTCAGAGTGTCCCCATCACCACGGCCACCATCCAGGAGCCACCCTGGCACCCATGCTCCCTCTCAAAACACACAGTTCCCCTCCGGTTCATGCCTTGCATGCCCTCAAGGGCTGCACATGTGGGAATGAGCCACGAGGGCAAGAGTGCTTAGGTGGATCAGGAAAGTCTTCTGGGAGGCAGAGGCTGCTAGGCTGAGTCTGAGTTGGGAAGGGGCGAGCACTCCAGGCAGAATAGCACAGGCAAAGGCCCAGAGGTGGGCAAGAACACGTGACTTTTGAAGTTTGTGGACCTGGAGTGTCTACTCCGGGGTAGAGTCTGCAGGGCCAGGGCTTGAGGGTGTTGGGATGTCATCAGCCAAGGGAAAGGGGAGTCATGCCAGGGGCAGCAGGGGGTGACATGGTCAAGTTTGTGATTTATGAAAATCCCTCTAGCTGCATCAAGATTTCATGTGATGGGAGAGGTGGGAAGACCCTGGGAGGAGTTTAGGGCAGAAAAGGAGGCGACACATGGCTTCTCACACAGAGAGCCAGAGATACCCCTCACACCAGGAGCCCCAAGAGATAGGGGTCCTTCCAGCAGGGAGGGGCTGCACCAGTACTTGTTCCTGTATTCCCAAGCCAATGTATCATTCAGCCACCAATCATCCAGGGAAGGTGATTGTACCCATAGGGCAGGTGAGGAGGCTCGGCTCAGCTCAGTGGGGTGAGAAACTGCAGGTCTCAGGCCCAGTTGGGCTAGGCCCTGAGCTCACCTTCAGGTTTTAGGCCATTCCGTGGCCCCTGGAGGCGTGGACTGGGGACCCAGAAGGCTGTACCGCTGACTTTACTGAGGTGCTTGGGCCCTTCCAGCTGTGGTGGCCACTTCCTACGGTACTGCTTCTGTTGGGGCTTGGTGGGGGCTGAACTGGGAGTTATGGGGGTGGCTCCCAGAGGGGCACTCCAGGAGGCATTGTAGAGGATCCTGGGCTGGAGACGGGCAAGACGCACTGAGCCATACGTTCTACACCTGGAGGATGGCAGTTGATACAGTTAGTGACCTGGAATTCCCTTTCCCAGAAACCCCTGGGGTCATCTCCATGGAGCCAAGGCTCTGCCAGTCCCACCCCCCCCATCCCACTGGGCAGGCAGGACAAGGCACATTCCCTGAAGGACAGACAGACAGATGGTCTCATTTCCCAGGCTTGGAGTCTGGGCTTCCCTCTGGCTTGGAAGGGGCTTGAGGGGAGCAGTCACATACCCGCCCCACCAGTACCATGCCACACACGCCTCCTGCTGCTCCAGCACGAAGCAGGGGATCTGTAACACATTGAAGAAGGCCACACCTACAATGTCCGAGATGGAGTCATGCTGGTTTCGCAAGCATTGCTGGAACCTGCCAAGAGCCAGCACTCAGGTCCTTGGACCACAGAGGGCCAGCCAGCTTCTCCTCTAGCCCACCCTGACACCACCAGCCAGGTGGTTTGGGGCCCAAGAGTCCCTTCTCCCAGGCCTCAGCTTTCCCGCCTGCTCTTTGGGATCCAGACTGGCTCATTCTTAAGGAGTCTCTGAAATTCCAGAGTGTACCCAGGAACTGGGCTAGATCCACTCACCCCTGAGCCCCCAGCTCTCCCTGCCCACCACCTACCTGGCATCACAGTCGCAGTGGGAGATGGTGTGGAGGCGGTAGTTTCGGATGCCGTAGCTGTACTGGAAGGGCAAGATGTTCTGTGGGCAGCGGTCGTGTTCTTGACAGCAGAGATCGGGGCCCTGGAAGACCCCTGCCGGGAGGGGAGGTGGTGCCAGCTCAGCAGAGTCCTGGGTACCTCACACCAGCTACACCCACAGGTATCAAGAAGGCAGGGCCTGGTTCTTGCCCCAGCCCTGGCACAGACGCCCTGGTGGCCTCAGGCCTATCACTTTCCCTCTGCAGGACTCTCACAATTGCAAACCTTGAAGAGAGCACTAAGGCCACAGCCCTGGTGGGAAGGTGCAGATGCTGGGAGCCCACCCAAGAGCACACAGGAAGGTCTTCCTCAGGGGAACTGGAGTCTGCCTTCAGAGTTCCAAGCTCACGCTCAATAAAACTCCAAAGTCACGAATGTGCATGTAATGGAATGGCAGACAGGCAGGGTGCAACCTTTCTTGCTGGCACGATGAGGTGTTGCCAGAATGCCAACCTGCTCCAACTCAGGTGCCAAGCCCTTTTCCTGCAGCCGTCTGTGCGTATGCACAGGCAGCTGTGCCAAGAGCAGAAAAAAAGGCACTGAGTTTAATCATCATCTGAGCAATAGTACCTTTTACTAAGCTACCCACACTCGGGCTCACAGCAGCCTTCAAGGAGGTGTCAGCTCCATTCTACAGGTGAGAAAATTGAGGTTCACAGGAGAAATGACTTGCCCGTCTTGCACATGCTAAGCTGGGATTTGAACACAGGCCTTTGGGCTCCCTGCCCAGGGCAGAATGTAGGCCCACAAAGCCTGCTCTTGGGTAGTGGCTTTTTGGCTTAACAGACCCTGGATGCACCCCAACCTGCCCCCTCCTCGGGATGGTGATTAATGAGGACTCCCAGGTTTTAGCAGGACCATCCCCATCACCTCATTTAAGCATCCCATGATGCGACTCATTGTTACCCCCACTTTACAGATAAGGAAATTGAGGCTCAGTTAAGTCACTCCCCCAAGGACACCCAGCCCGAGAGAGTGGGGGCCAGCTCTAAAGCCTGAACTTCCTCCCCCACCCAGGACCCCATGGCTCACCCAGCTCCGATGAGTTTGCAGCAGAGTCCCCAACACCACACCACAGTGTGCCAGGCATGGTCCAGCCTCTCTTGGCCCGGCAGCATCCCCCACCAGATGCTCCACTCTGCCCAGCTGCTCGCTTCTTCCTGGCCTCCTCTGCTGGCTGCTCCCCAGGCCTGTGGCAGGCCTTCCACTGGCTCTGAAGGGTGTTCAGGGCTCTCTGCAGCTCAGGCCCAGGGGTGTGTGTGAAGGCACCCCGGGTAGTCTCATGAGCACAGAGGGTGCGGAAGGCTGCAGTGAGCTTGGGCTCGCCCTGCCGGCTACATGCCTGCAGCCTTCCGCGCCCATCCCAGCGGGCGTGGAACAGGGCCAGTCCCCGGGCATCCTTGCCCAGGAAGCTCAGGAACTCCAGGGGGCCACCGGGCATGGGCCCAGCCAAGTGGCAGGAGGTGCTGTCCCAGCGGAGAGCAGAGGAGCCCCCCAGAGCCACCTCCAGGAAGCCTAGCACCGACAGCACCTTCAGAACCCCCATCCCACCCTGGCCCAGGCCAGTCAGACAAAGCCCTCAGATGCCTGCCCTGGCGGCCTATGAGGTAAGGCAGCAGCTCAGCAGCCTGAGTGGAAGCAGTGCCCAACAGGCTCCAATGAATGGAGCTGCAGGAGGAGGAGGAAGTCGGCTGGAGTATGGGGTGATCTCAGGCTTGTAATTGAATCCACCAGCTGGGCAGGCTGCTGATTGGCTGAGGAGTGCACTTGCCGGGGGCCCACGCCTCCACTTACCCAGCCCTTCTCGGCACCAGCCAGTCACCTGCTGCTGGCCCCTGCCCAGATGGGGACTGTGGACACCAAAGCCCTGGGCCCTGGGGTGGGGACCAGAGGTATCTGTATCTCCTTGGAGAGGGACCGGGTTCAGAGGCTTGAGGAGACCCCCAGAGCCCCTTCTTGTCCCCCCAGTCCAGTGGTGGCTGCCACACCTACCTCCATCAGGCTGGCAGAGGGCCATGGGCTGGGCCGCCAGGGCTGGGTGAAAGAGGTAAGGGCAGGGCTGGGGCTCTGTGGCCGCTGCCCTTGGAGCCCCGGGGCTTCTGGGAAAGAGATCGCCCATCCCCTGGCCACCTAGGGTGCTTCCCCCCAGTTCTGGTTCTTGGAAAATCTCTTGGCATATCCAGCGGCAGCGCCCCAGGGCTTCCCACTTCCTAGGACTCTGAGCACCACAGCCTGGCCCGAGAGCAGCTCTCCTGGTCTAATGGTGGAGACACAGTAGGAGCAGACCTTGAAAGCAACATGGGCAGGGCTGCTGCTGTCCACTTGGAGGGACTGTGGTCCCCAGAGGAGCAGAGAGGGGCCAGTGGCTAGGGCTGTGGCACCTCTGTCCCTGGACTGTAACCACCTGGGGGATATGCAGACACATATGTCCCCAAAAGAGATGGGTCCTTCTAGCAGGAGGGGTCCTTCCATCTGGGAGGACTGCACTGCTCCTTGTTCCTGTGTCCCCAGGTTGATGCATCATCCAGCCACCAACCATCAGGGGAAGCTAGGGTGATTTCACCCATAGTGCAGGTGAGATAAAGAAACTCAGCTCAGCTCAGTGAGGAAAGGAAATCACAGGTCACAGGCTCAACTGGGGAGGGGCTGGAGCCTGGGTATGGAGATCTTGGGGGGCTTTGCTGCGGGGTCAGGGCTGACCAAAACAGGGACTTGTCTGTCTGCCCATCTGCCTATGAACATCCTGCTCTTCCCAAACCCCCCAATCTCCATCGAGTCTCTTCTTGGGGGATAAGCCCCAGTGAGGGGGAACCCAGGGCGGAGCTGGGGGAAGATCACTGTGCAGGGGTGGTTGCAGGGGTGGTTGCAGGGGGGTAGGCCCATCTCTGTGGCCTCAGAACCAGGGCCTGTGACCCAAACGGTCTCGGCTGGGAACAATGAGAAGGGAAGTTGGGAGCCAAATTCCTTTCCAGAATCAGGGCAAGAGAGTGTGGGTATGGGTGGGGGCAGGGCCAGTGGTGGCAGAGGTTGTGGGAGACCTGGATTCCCAAGGACAGGGGCATGACTGAACAAAGGTGGTTCCTCTGGGAAGAATTCTAACATTTGAAAACCACGTTCTGGGAACTTTCCCCAGCTGTAGGAACTGCCGCCCACCTCTGCCCTGATTTTCCTGATTACAGCCCTTCCCTGCCCATCAGCTGGAGAGGCTGGGAGGTACCATGGCAAAAACAGCCTTCCTGGTCAGACAGGCCAGGTCCCGTTGTGTGGCCCTAGGCAAGTCTTCACTTCTCTGAGCCTCAGTTTCCTCATCTCTATCACGGGCATAGTGACAATAGTCACCTCAAGGGGGTTGAGTAAGACTTGGCACTGTGCCTGACACCCAGAACACTGACCCTGAAGCCTCAGGACACCCCTGGACAGGAAGCAATTACCCAGGGGAGAGTAAGTCCCAAGGTTTTCGGCCTCAGCATCCATGTCCAGTCCCAGGTAGGTGATGGTCTGGCTGTGTGACTTGGGGCTCATCCCTTCCCCTCTCTGGGCCTGGGTTTCCTCCTCTGTGCAGTGAGGGGCTTGGAGTTGACCTCAGAGGTCTTTCCTGTCTGGACCCAGAGGGAGGCAGGCCTGGGTCTGCCTAGGCCTTGAGAGGGTGTCACTGGGCTTTCCCCTCAGACTCCACCCCGGCAGCCACGTCAGTCAGCTTTCTGGACAGGCTCTGGCACCCTGCCTTCCACCGGGGTGCCCCTCAGAGGCCTCTGAGCAGGGGGTGGGGAAGGCAAACCAGCAGGACAGGGCAGGCTGGGTCCTGCAGATGGCAGGGGATTGAGGCTTTCCTCTAGGTCCCTACCTGTCCCAGATGGGGCAGGGCACATGGTGGGTGCCAGTGAGGAATGAGGAGTAGGGGTCGGGGGAGAAGGTGTTCCCTCCTCTGTCTTTATGTTTCTATCCTGTCTGTCTCCATCACTTTTTCCCCTTTTGGCTTCTTTCTCATCTCTCTGGCTCTTGGTCTCTTTCCCGCTCTGGCTCTGGTTCTCATAATTTCTGTCTCCTCCAGCTCTCTCTTCTTATTTCCCTGTCAGTTTCTTTCTTGTCTTTCTCCTTTTCTCCTCTGCCTCTCTTGATAGTTTTTCACTGTTCCTCCCTGTTTCACTCTCTTTGTCTTAGTCTCTCTCTCTCTGCCTCCTTCCCTCTCTGTTTCTCATTTTTTCTGCCCTTCTGTCTCTCTGGGTAGCTTTCTGTGATTCTCCCCTACTCGCTTTCTCTTTCCCGTCTCTTTCTCTCTCACACACAAACACAGACACACACACCGTGTCACTCCCTTCTTCTGTCTCTCACATTTTCTCTGTCCTGTTGTTTATCTCTGTGTGTGTGTCTGTATTTCTCTCAGGTGTCTTCCCCTGTCATTCTGTATTTCCTCCTCTACCTCTCCTCAATCATCCTCTCTTCCTCCTTTCTCTGTCTGCTCCCCCCTTGTCAGGGCCAGATTAGCCAATAAGCAAGGTACGTAAGGGCCCAATTGTGCCTTCCTGCCAATCTGCAGTGCACAATTTCCCCCGTCTCCCACCACAGCAAAGACGTGGTGAAACCCATGTGAAATTACTTACCACAGATTAGCAAGTAAATACAATTAAACCTGTGTTCAATGCAAGCCAGTGCATACGGTGCTTACTAGTTAACCCACCTCTGCTCCCTGCCCAATAGAACCCAGGGCCCAGGACCACAGAGATGCCTTCCATGTGCCTTGCCCTTTCTGTTCACATTTTCCCAGTCATGACCTCATCCAATGTCATAATCCTGCCCCTCCCTGGGAAGACAGGCAGGGCAGGTCTCTCACCCCATGGTAGAGATGGATGAGTGAGGCCCTAGAAGAGGAGTGACTCGCCATGAGTCCCTGGGTGGAGCAGGGGAGAAGTCAGGTCTGGCCCCCCTAGTGTGTGGGGTGGGCCTCCCCAGGGTCTGGGAGACTCCTGCTCCAGGCAGCCTCCCTGTCTCAGGGCCTTCTTCTCCATGGGCTTGGCCAGATGCCCCTCCCTCTGCCTAGAGGGCTCTCTTACTCTCGTGCTCTCTTTCTCTCTTTCTGTGCCGGCAGAATGGGGCAGGCAGTGCCTACCTCCAGAGCACTCTGTGCTCATTCAAAACAAATAGTTACTGACCGTCTACCATGTGCCAGGCCCAGGGCGAGGTCCCAAACACAACATGCTGGAGAGAGATGGAAAGGGACCTCATCCCCTGCAGGGACCAGGCCAGAACCTGGGTGCCAGGTACATCCTCACAGAGTGAGAAGCGCAGGAGATTTATTGGAGGAAAGGCCCGTGAAAGGCAAAGGGAGAGGGAGCAGGATTGGGCAGGGATGTCTTCAGGCTGTGTTGCAGGTCAGACCTGACATCTATGAAGGGAAAGAGGGGGAGGGAAGGAGCATTGGGTAAGAAGAACTTCCCACTGTGGTGCTGCCCTGAGAACCTCTCAGCCGGCCAGCAGGGAGCCCAGTGCACAGACTGCCCATAGAAGGGTCCTGAGTCAGTAGCAGTGGCCAGGCCCTAGTGTCCCAGCTGTGCTCAGTCTTCAGTCACCAGGAAGGGGAGCTTCAGCTCCAGCGCTGCTGCAGGGCCCCACGGTGCTGCAGGTGGAAGCAGTTGGCTAGCTGCTGTCCTCGAAACTGATGGCTACCATACCTGGGAACTCACAGCACCTCCCCCATTCCCCGCCATTTGGCGGGGGCAGCCCCTACTGCAAACCAGGAGAGGAAGTCCAGAAGGCAATCTTCTTCCAGGAGATTCCAGGGTTAAGAAGTAGGAATTTATGGGTACAGGACCATCCCCATAAGATTTCCAGGCAGGAGTCCACTCCCTAGCATACCTGGCATCAGCTGAGCCTGGCCCCAGATCTGAGGGAATGAAGAACTAGACTCAACTGTGTCTAACTAAAACTAATCATCTCATCAAGTAGATACAAGAGCTAAATGGGCACCTTCTGTCTGGAGGTGAGATGGGAAGGCAGAGAGAGTTAGGAGCTGCTTGAATGAATGGGGGAATGAGGGGTGGAAAGGAGGAGTGTGCTGTCACAGTATGGGGAGAGCGATTAGAGTCACATAATAATGCATGTATAAATTTTTGTATGGGAAAAAATAAATAAAACTAATCATCTCAATGGATATGAAGAAAAGCATTAGATTCAATTCAACAACTTACTAAACTAGGAATAGAAAAGAAAGACAGGGGGAGGGATGGTGTCTTAGTTATCTAGTGCTGCTGTAACAGAAATACTACAATGGTGTTAACAAAGAGAAATTTATTCTCTCACAGTCTAGGAGGCTAGAGTCCAAATTCAGGGTGTCAGCTCTGGGGGAAGGCTTTCTCTCTCTGTCTGCTCTGGGGGAAGGTCCTTGTCATCAATCTTTCCCTGCTCTAGGAGCCTCTCAGTGCAGGGACTCTGGGTACAAAGGACATGCTCTACTCCTGGAGCTACTTTCTTGGTGGTATGAGTTCTCCCTATCTCTTTGCTTGCTTCTCTCTTTTATATTTCAAAAGAGATTGACTCAAGATACAACCT